TATATATATATATATATATATATATATATATATATATATACATACACATATATTTGTATGTACACTTTTATATGTTTTTATAGTATTACTAGAAGTCATATGTAATTTTTTAAATCGATCTCATTATTACCGCCGTCAAATTCCGATACTATAAAACTTTTAACATATTCTTAATATTCTACTATATCCAATTATATATATATATATATGAAGATATATTTATATATATTTTAATCTATAAGATTTTTATCTTCTATGAGAAATGTTACTAATACGTACAATTATGATCGCATTTAAATTAAAAAATATTTTAACTGCATATTTTTAAAAATATCAAAGCATAGAGTTAGTTATTAGACTAAAATTTTTCCAAGTACAAACAATGTTCGAGTTTTTAATAATTCAAATTAAAATGTAGCAACATTCATGTCATACATTTTATTCTCCAGATATTAAAAATTGTGTAATTCTACAAATCATGATAACCATAAATAATATTTTAATGTTTAACGAAAGATAAAAAAAACATGGGACCAAAACGTGTAAACGAACCAAAAGTAAGATTTAAAGAATAAAAAATATTTGTATTCCTTTTTTTTCTGTAACATAAATTAAAATAAATTTTTTATAAATATTTATAAGTATTGAAAATTTTTGTGTAGAAATATGTGTCCAAGGGCAAAGAACGAGTGGATCGTGAACAACAAACGAAAAATCAATTCGATCCTCTTTATTTAGAAGTCAAACATCTTGAAACAGCGATATTATTACTACAATGTGAAGAGAAACCTGTTTTGTTAGCTGCTGCGGCAGCTTTGTCAAAATTTGGCAGCAAATCTCAGGAAAATTTAGAAGTTTTATTCGATCTTGAAATTGTGAATAATATAATTCCATTGATTAAACACGAAGATTTATTTACTCGAAGGTTTATTTTAATATTTTAATAAAAGTTATTCGTATATATATATATATATACATATAAAATTATGTAATAAAATATAGATTTGCCGCAAAATTATTAGCCGAAATGGTAGCTATTCCTAATGTTCGTAACTTCATCTTGGAGTCATCCGAATATTATATCCCATATTTTATCAATGTTGTGATCCAAGAAAATGATATTTTCCTGCACGAATTTTCATTGTTAATTTTAGCAGAAATAACTAAAGACATATTTGGAGTAGCACAATTGTTAAAACAAAGTTCAGATGTAGACTTCCTGTTCGAAAAACTTTATTCACCGGATCCTGACGTAAAGAAGAATGCATTGCAAATTATATATAATCTATTACAAGATCCTTTAGGCACAGAGAAAATTATTGAAACTAAGGTTCATTAGGATGAAAAGTTAAACGCTATATTTTGTTAAATTTTTTCTGCATTTATGATTGCTATTTGAGATAATGTGCAATTTTCAGGATTTTAATTTGGAACAGGTTTATGAGCTTTTTAATTCACCTTATAGCGAAATCCAAAAGCTCGCACTTGATGTAGTAACTGATCTAGTACGTAGAAATAAGGATGAACAGTTGCAAGAACATTTTCGACGTACCAAGTGTCTTGAGGCTTTATTGAAATTTTTGGATGTAAAAATTTTGGATAAAAAATATTCTTACAATACAGAAGAGAATTTTTCTATTAATATTATTTATAGAAATATATATTTGTATATATTAATTTAGAACATTGAGTGGTTAGATCTTCATACGAATGCGCTTATGATCCTTCGATTTGCCTGTGACAATCCTACTACAGTTGAATATTTCAATGATATTGGTGGTATCAAACAGATATTAAAATATATAGAAGATACATCACATTCGAAACTTTTCAAACAAGTTCTGGATATAGCTGTTTGTTTATCGCATACATCTAGGGGTAGAAAAGTAATGCATATAATCTAATGAATCTATTCTAGGTTATCTAATTGAATTTTAATAATTATTTATATTTCTATTATTACTTTTTATTAATTCTAATATTCTTCTTTTATACAATTTTTATTGTAATTTTTTTCTTATTTAATAACACTTAATTAATTGCTGATGTATTTATTTAATAGATGCTGCACATGTACGGTATCGTCGATTATTTGTTACATACGTTATTTGGTAACGTGCAAGAAATGTACGAAACCAGTTGTCACGGTATCGGTATGATGACTCTATACAGTCGAGCAGCTAAAGATTTAACTACGAGCAATTGCGTGAAAACCATTCTAGGTAGATTCGATGGATCTTTTTAAAATCATGTAATGATTTGCGATGTCATTTCAGATGTGCTGAAAAATGACAATTTGAACTGGTCTGCTAGACAAGCAGCTTTATTTGCTTTAAATTCTTTGATGAAATGTGATATAAAGAATTGTGAGGATTTCTTAACTATTCAAGGACAGGTAACATGATTTATCTAATTATCCATCGTGCAATTATTCTCTAACAAAGGATATCTCAAAAATATTATCTTTAGAATTATTTATTGTGGCTGATGAAACAAACAATAGGAAAAGTTCCAGTTGAAATTTTAGTTGATACTGTAGATTGCCTTATTTCAATAGCAAGAAATCAAGTATTGAGAGATATTATTATTAACACGGATATCATTGAGGCTATGTGTGCATCTTTCGAGGTATATCTTCTTTTTAATTTTAATTTTCTAAATTTTTATTAAAATCAATCAAATTACAAATTTTCAAATGAAGAACGAATTATCATTCGATTAATTTGATAGTTAACCTGTATATCGATGGACGATTTCAAAATCGCCTGTTGTAAAGCTCTATCCATGATGTGTCTAGAGGAGAAGGGAAGACAAGAATTTTTAAAGATCGAAGGCCCCAAAAGATTATATAATCTGTTATGTGACATCAAATCGATTCCAATAAGAAACGCAGCTGCTCAATTGATTCAATTGTTATGCGCGGATCCGGTTCTGGCAAATGCTTTTGTTTCAGCTAGATTCTTGAATTAGTGAGGCTTAAAAAAAAAAAATTGTTTTACGACGAAACACGCAATGGTATTATTTACGAAAATAATAATAAATAATGTAGCATGTTGAATAACCGAAGCACTGCGCGAATCGTTCCTTCTTGGGACATGTGCATAGAAGCCTTATTTAACTCACATCTGCCGATGAAGTTCGCTTTTACTGGACGGCTTTCATTACATGATATCACTCAAGATGGATTTTACGTGCTTCGAAGAAACGTTTGCACGTACGATATTCTTAGAATTTATATATAGATATTTTCATTTTTTAATTTTTTTTGATTTCTTTTTATTTTTATCAGATTTCCTATATTGGACGATATCCTTCGATTCAAATTCTGTCCTCTGGAACCTATCTATGTAGTTAATTGCAGTGAACCAGAAGATTGTAATCAAGTGAATATGGAAGGTGAAAAATATTATCTATTTACCTTTATTTTTTTTTTTCTTTTAATTAAGAATAATAAGATCGTACTTTTGTAGAATCGAAAGAAGCAATTACTCGTGGCGTTTTCTTGTCGACCGAAATAGCAAATTTAACATTGGATACCAAATTTGGTACTCTTCAGCGTGATACTTGTCTCTATAATTACGTAGAATTATTTAAATGCAAATTAATCGCTAATGAATCGAGAAACGTGTAAGAAAATTATCCTAATTTTTTCATTCGTGCAACTTTCATAATCATCATACTATTTTTCAATATAGAGTATCAAAAACAACAAAAGGATTCATAAATATCAATTATATAGTCTCCCGTGCTCAGATGTTAGCTAAATTTGTTTCTCAACAAATGTCAGGACCAGATCCTCTTATTACATGCGTGGATCACCAATTGGAGATTCATTTGAAAGAGATCAAAGACACCATAGAAACTAGCGTAATACCATTGGGAATGTTACGAGTTGGTTCTTATTTCGAAAGAGCATTGCTTTTCAAAGTGATCGCCGACAGAATACATTTACCTGCTGCCTTGGTGCGAGGAGAGTATGGTAAAGCTTGGATCGAAATTGCTGTACCGGAGGTAGAGGATATTGGATTTTTTTTAATTTTTCTCCATCAATTTAGACATTAGATTTTTATTATCCGTTAACATTTCAATTCTTATAAATTAAATCTCTTAGTTTAGAATAATTATTATTATTATTAGGTGAGAGTTCCAGCGGAAGAAAATAAATTTCACGCTTATATAGACAGAGATATAACCTGTCCAGAAATTGTTACGATTTATCAACCTCTGCAACAATATCAACATAAATACATAGATCCGAATCTAATCTTCGAAGATCGTGCTTCATCAATTTTTCCAACAAAGCTGTTGAAACCGAATTTCATCGTCGATTTGATGGATTCTCCTGGAGACTTGATTCCAATTGACAGTCAACGAGCCAGAAAATACCGCGAAAAAAAATTAATCTGCGAGATTACATGTTAAAACAAGTGTTAAGTCGCAAGATTTATTTCATCGAGATTTTAACTTCTTCACTTCCATTTGCACTCTCACCTTCTTTGGACTCTGTTAAAAATCTAAAACTTAAAAAAGTGTTTATATTAATATAAACCGCAAGAATTTTATTTACAATGACAATATGCATTTATGGATAGAAATAGAATCGATTGGTCTTTAATTAATGAAATTGACCAACGTCTATCTTTATCGAGTCAACAACGATTAAAGTGACGACTTTAATGCTATTGTTGCATCATTGAATGTTTAATAAATTACTTTTTACGTTAGTAAAGGAGGAGCACTTTGTTTCTTGTTTAATTTGTTCCAGATAAATACATGTTAAAACTGATTAATTCGAATGTTTTCCCAATTCTCCAAGTTTCACTAATCCAAAGAAACTATTCTCCTTATCGAAAATAGCGAATCTCGGCGAGCTAGCCTCCTTGAAAACTAAAACGTCTTCCTTTCTAAGAGGTGTCACTTGAGCTGAGAAACAGGTTTGGCTAATGTTGCGCACATGGCCCGAATTGTCGATCTAAAATCATTAATAATAATCGTTTCTTTTTATCTTTTTATTTATAATGTGAAAGTTTCTATATTTATTCATTTTTTGTATAACAAAAGAAAAAAAAAATGAAAGCAAGCTTGGCCAATGAATACCATTCCTTTATCTGGTCTCAGAAAAACTACTGCTATCTTAATTTTTTTTTAGGTTAGTTAGGTTAGTTATTTATATCGTTAAATGAAACGAAATTAAGAAACGTGATAACGATTCTATTGTATATATTTATCAAATTTCTTCTTTTTTTTTTTTTTTGTCTCTTCTGATTTTGATATCAAACCATTTATTTTTCAAACATTAACATTATTATCATCTTACCATGCACTGAAGAATAGGCTGATTGTTCACTTGCAGATGAAATCCAATTTCATCGTGATCATCATTGTAATGAATCTGCGCGTAAACTAGATACAATCCTGGTTCATAAATGGTAACACTCCCATCGTTGGACATTTTGAAATACTCGTTCATTCCAAGATTATTCACCCAATCGCTTGGTTTCCATGCTTTAAACATGCTATTTCCATGACGAATTCTCCCATTTCCAGCATAAATATCTTTCTCTGAATATCCATTCTTATTTCCATCGTAATGGACTGCGATCACTTTCCGAGAATGGTTCGTGTTCCTCCGAAATTTGCGTGGAACTTTTTTAATGCGATTCGTCGCAACTTGTTTGTTAGGAGGCGTGGAAGAAGATGCCTCGGTGATATCCAAAGACGAGTGAATATATTTCTTTGGAGGATGCTTACTGGATACAACAGACCTGCGAGAAACAATGAAACTGCTCAAGTTTTTCTTACTAAGTTCTCTCAAGAGTATTTAAAAGATCCAGGTATTTTTTTTTTTCAACGTCAATATAACATATGATATTACAAAATATTAACAACTAACATATTTTGCTCGTCCTGGCCAGATTTTTCCATCTCTCGATCAGAAGTGGGATCAGAAGCAATTGTTCTTTTGGTATGATTTTTAAGCAAATGTCTGTTAACGAGTAATCTCTTGGAACTATGATTCTTTTCATCAATCGATCGTTTACGCTTCAAGGTTATCTTCCAATCCAACAAAAAGTCTTTCGTGTTATCGCTAGCTTCCAATACATCTCGTTTTCGCTTCATCGTATCATTCTTATGATCTTTCGTCTCCCCTTCCAAGTTATTCTTATCCCGACCACGGTCTCGACTCGAGTCATTTTCCTTCGATTCTTCGCTTTGTTTGGTCCTGCGCGGTAAAGTTAATTTCATCAACGTTTCATCCGCAATAGGAGGATCCGGCGGAGAAGGTACTGGGGCGATGGTCGACGAGGAATCAGGGAAATCGGATGGTCTGGCGCCAAATATCGGCAAAGAAAATGTATCCTCGTCATAGTTGGAATTGTAATCTGTTCTGTCGATATTTGCTTCCTCTGCATCGTCCTCGTCGTCGTCGTCCTCGTCGTCGTCGTTATCATCATCATCGTCGTTGAATTCTTCGGTATACAACTATATAAACAGAAAAAAAAAATTATCGTCAGCATTCCTTTTTACGTATTCCAATTTGTTTGTAAACATGCTACACATTTACAAAAAGAAAAATAAGATAAGTTTTTTGAAGAAGACGCAATAAAGAAAAGAGATAATCAATAATCCTTAACACAATAAGAAAAACGTCTTGGAAATTGTATTATAATTAGATTGTTTAATCATCACGCGATACACACAGTCAATTTGTATGCATCAAATTTTATAAATGATGATTGCGCGATGCGTTACGTAAGTAATTGCGCAAGAATCGAATTCCAAGTATCGAATTATATATTTATGTTATTAAATTTTTTATAAAACTATTCTTACAATTAAATGTAACGCAGGTCGTCGAACTGTTTTATGCTCGCGCGTTTACATGTAAACACGTGGCCTGTTTATTGTCCGTGATCTTAAGTTTCATTCAAGACCGATAACCCGATCTTTTTTCTTTTTTTTTTTATAACAGAAAACTCGCTAAAAGAAAGTCAATATTAGTATTGGAATGACAAAACGTTAAAGGTTTGTCCTTGCTTGTTTTCAAGAAGAATCGTTAAATCGTTGAAAAGAAAAGAAAAGAAAAGAGAAAAAAGAAATAGAATATTGTCCTTTGAAACTTTGCATTATTCATAAATTCTCATGTTTTTTATTTCTCGGTTTAAATGAAATTCACGAAGGATAAAAAAGACACGATGACGATGATCACATTTACATTTCACTCGCTGGTGAATAAAAAAAGTATCACCTGTTCTTCAAAAGCTTTCACTTCGTCGAGTAGATCTTCCTCCAAAATACGATGCTTCAAACTGTCCACACTTCGTTTCAAATCTTCAATCTCTCGTGCATTGATCAAAGAATAACGAAACTCCCAACATTCAAGACCGAAGCAAAGAAATGCAATTAAGAGTGCCGTCACGCTTAGAATCGTATTTCTGTTCGGTCGAAAGCGTTGTTTATTGTAGCTTTGTTCAAGGTCAGATTGAGAGATACTCAAATTCTCTCTGGAGAAGCTAAGAACGATCGTGTTTCCTCCTTCATGTGTACATCGTTCATTAATTTTTGCTTTATTCTCGCAACTTTTGACTCTTCTTCAGGGAAAACGGAAGTCATTGTGACAAAAAAAAAAAAAAAAAGAAGGAAAAAACTAACGACACTTGAATATATTTAGAAATATTTAAATTACACTGCACTTTATAAAACACTATTAATATTGTATTTTTTTCTTCTCTTTTTATCCTTATCCTTTTTTTAACTCGCAAAATATTAAGAGATTCATCCAAAGAGAGAGATAGCATCCATTTTTCTTCAATATATACAATTTTTTCTCGATTCGCATTACACGTGAATCTTTGACGTAAACTCACATTTCGTTACATTAATTTTTGAAAATAACACTTTCATACTTTCTTCCGCCTCAATTTATTGTTCACTTTTTAATTGCAGCAAAAGTCACAAATTGATTTTAATTTCAAACATGAACAGTATTTATCAAATCCAATCGAATAATAATTCCGATATTTCTTCTTCTTTTTCTTTTTTTTTTTTTTTCTAATCGAACAATCAATAAGCCGTCTGATTTCACGTTTTTAGAAATTTATAATAATCTATGATGTTAAGTGGCTCGAATATTTCAGTTCTAGCCCTCTTTAAAACCTGTCCAACGGGTTTTTTCCCCTTCCGATTAGAACAGCGAACGAAATCACAGGCGAAAGTGATCAAGATTCGTCCCTTTGGCCCTTTATCTCCGCCCACTAGCTTTTCGTCTCCTCCTTTTGTTCCTTGCCCTTTTTTTATCCTTTTCTTCTCTACAAGAGATATTCTCTTCGACAATTTGTCATTTAATTGTCATTTAATAATCCTCATAATTTCATTACTCTTTAACCTATCCACTTTTCGATTCTTTTTCCTTTCTTTTTTTATACTTAATATAATCTTTTATAATAATGAAATACCAATATAAAACAATACTGGAATAATTTAGACCAAACGATAATTTGTTCTATCGTTGTTGTTCTTATTGTTGTTGTTGTTGTTGATTCTCTAATAGATTTGATCATCACTGGAATGGAAAAATTTAACGTTTACCAGTGAAGAGTAAACACAGATAAAGAAGGAACGACCATCGTGTTTGACTGACTCGACCGTACTGGGTAAAAGGAGCGGAAAGCATTTGAGTTTATTGCAGCAATACCTCTGGATCTCAGTGGCGTAGATCAGTGATATGGAGGCGCAGGTTTCATCTCTAATCCTCAAATTTTTCATTATTGAAATATTATATCATGTATTATATCACGACATCGTTATTCCTTATAAGTCAAGAATATTATTATAATTAAATATCATTTAATTCTAATTATCAATAATTATTGTTTAGTTCAAGGATGACGATATTTCATGAAATCTTGTTACAACAAGATTTGTAACAATGTTAATCTTCGATCATCGCTCAAAAAAAAAAAAAACGATCGATCAAACAGGAAACGTATCATCAACAATTTCCTGGGTTTTCGTGCATATTACAATATTCTCCGCGATATGTTTCTCTTGAATTTACTGCAACGATATTCTTTTTTACACGCGTGTTCCACGAAAAAAGCCTCCGGCGTGGAATTTTATCGTCGCCAATGTGAACGAGGCTTCGACGTTGCTCTTCCAACCAAAGGCATCTCCGATTCCCGACCTCTTTCGTCTTCCCTAGGAATATCGAATTCGATACTCGGTGGCTCTAAGAATCGCTTCATCCTGCGAAACAATGTCGTGAGAACGAAATGAAAGAAGTGAAGAAAGAAATATCTCAATTTTGTTTTTAGATGAAGAATAAGAATAACAATCGCAGTAGTGTTCCAACAGTGGGAATAAACAATGGATACGAAAAGATCTGTTTATAACCAGTTGATAATAACATCAAGTGTCTTATTAGAATTTTGTCTAGAATTTAAGATTATACTGATTATCCGTCTCCGTTTAAAGAAAAATAAAAACAGGGGACAATCTAATTTTACGTTGTTTGCTAAGAAATTCCACCATGCGTTTCGTGTGTTTATTTTAAATTAAATTTCAGATTGTAAAAAAAAGAAAGAAAAAGAAAAAGAACTATCTCGTTACATTCCATGATGATTTATAGAAACAAGAAAGTGGGACAGTTTCATATTACGTTATTGATAATAATGTTATCAGAAAAATTCCACCACAGCGGCGATCCTAATTAATCATCGCGGAATGCACATGTGTTCCTAATGTGCAATTGAGTCGATCCGTGTAGGAAGATGGCAAAATTTGAGGTATCAATTTACGACTGATGAGTCGAAGCGTACCGTTCGTGGCCTGCCTATTATTTAATTTATCCTTTCTTCTCGTTTAATAGCTGCCTACTCGCTGTTTCCATGACTTTCTTACGTTCTACCGATCAAACTTGCAGAAGAAAAATTTTATTAGTAGTGGTGAAAAAAAATAATTTAAAAAAGTAACTAGAGAGAAAATAAAGTAAGAAAAAAAAAAAAAAAAAAATTAACCCTTCGTTTCATTTTATTAGGAGGAGGTAATTTATTTTATACTCACTGTTAAAGAATCAATGACCTCTACTTCCGGTATTAACGAGGTATCACATACAGGAGGTATATTACAAGTAATAATGACGTCAACTGTTTTCTCACATGTGAGAACGAGATTGTTGTTAGTAAGCTGCTCTTTAAATTCCCTACATTTTACAAGATAATGCGAATCAGATGCAACGAAAATAATATGAAATTTTTAAGTTCGATTAACATTATCAATCTGAATCAACGATTTTTCTGTGTAATATAATATATTCTTGTTCAATTTCACAATGTAGTTTTTAGTCACCGAGTTATCAAAAATTCTATTGTTATTATCATTTGGAATATCGGATATATTATATTTTTCATGCATCGTAAAATTGAGATTTTATGATACTTCTTTTTTTTTTTTTTTTTTTTCCTAAATCTTTCTACAAACTGAATTGAATCAAATATTAAGAAAATCAATGATATTTAATGAAATAAAATATCACAACACAGTCACAGTTCAATTGAATGCAAAATTGAAATTGTTAATTGATTAAATTAAAAATGTGGAAAATTAATTTTGAATAAATTGTATACAATACCTGCATATATTGCTATAAATAACATATATAGCTATTTATTATCGAATCATTACGATTTAGATATAACAATGAAAACATAAAAAATCGAAAGAATACGTACAACGATGCATTCATTCCTAGCGAAGCAAAATTTATGAAAAAAGATATTGTACCAACATTTTTTTCGAATTGCAAAATTAGATTTTTTTTAATTCTGAAAAAAAAAAATAAAATTCTATAAGAAATCTATAATAATTTATAAAAATCTGAATTATAGAAAGATTGTGAATATTTAATAATGTAATAAGAATTTGGTCGATGATCGAGACACAAAAGGGCGATCGAGACTCCACTTTCGAATTAAGTATTCAAGTCACTGTTACGTGAAAGCAGGATTCATAGTCCTTGAAAACGAGTTCCGGCATCGGTTTAAAATTCAGTATAACGTATTTCGTTCTTCAAATATTTTTGAACTCTATAAATAATGTAAATTAAATAATTTTTTATGAATATTATAACCTTATCTGAATATTGCAACAACAATGATGACTTACATCCAGATAAGAAAAGAAAAATAAAATCGTACGTAAGGATCAAAATTTCTTATCAATAATATATATTGTTCTTGTTCATTTGCAATATATGTAATTTTAATCTATTAAAATCCATAATAAACAATCCTTGTGCTATATTCTTAAAAAATTTCTAAGAGATTAATGAAATTAAGTATATGATTTTACTTATTTTTGTCAAACAAAAAAAGAAAGAAAGTAAGTAAAGAAGATATCTATAGTGTCTTGCCAGGCAAATGTTGGCAACACTCGGGCGAACAGCCGCCAAACCGGTCGAGTGAAGTCGTCGTAACGTTTGGAGACCCTTTTGAGTGCGGGTTGACTAGGTAAACAAAAGATGCCACGAAACAGCATCGTCCACGATCAGGTTCGCAAAGGGTGAGCCTTTTAGCGACACTAGCTACGCAAGTGTATCGATTCGAAAATCGATTGATCTCATCTGTGATTCTCGCAATTGTTGGAGAATCGATAAAAAAACATGTTACTCAGGTAAGCAAAAATTATTTATTTACGATATATTCACACATTCTAGTTCCTTTTTGCTTATTATAATTTTGTTTAATTATCGAAATTTCTATAAATAGTACATTTTTATGATGATTATTTCAAGTTTCAAGTTTGATATTGAAATTTTTTTTTTTAGAATTCGTATATTTTTATTCGTTTATTAAGACAAGCAAAGATTGTCTTATTCGGAAAATAATGAAAAATATTATTCTAAAATTGAAATTAGAAATCCTAAAATTAAAATTGCAAATGTATGAAAAGAATGTGGAGAAACAATTATTTTTCTTTGTTTCTATCACTGACACATCTACGCGTACATGACATGACTACTAGTCAGCAAAGTTGGATAGGATGACGAATTGAAAACTTATACATTACTCTATTTGGAAATTGTTTAATTAAAGTCTTTTGATAATATACCCGCGTGAATAAATCCACGTGCTGTCCTTTATTTCTGTTATTATCTTGTAGTTTTTGCACTCAATCGTATTACACGATACTTCATTGAATAAAGTGATTATTGAATAAAAAATGTGATTTATCTTTTATATATCTATAATTATCGAGAAGAGTGATGTTTTCGAGAACTATGTTTTTTATTATCTTTATCGAATACGTATGTTGATTTAAGTGAAAGAAAAGTTATAATTCAGTATTGATTAATTTTGAAAGTGTTAGAATTAAATAATGCATGTTTTAGGACATTTGTGATATAATATATAACATATATTTAAACTAGTCGACACGTTCTTCTGCGATTGATCGATGTATATAATCTTAAAAATCGATGGCAACGAAAATCAAAATGGATCACATTCAAGGTGACATCGATCTACAAATCGATAATCCATTGAAAAACGCGGCAAACTTGATTGAATGGAATGTTGACATGAAAGTAACCGTATCTAAGGTAAAGAAGTCAAAGATGTTCCAAAGATTTCGCACTATCGTTCTTTTCTTATTAGCGATTATTTTCGCTGTTATGTTGTCCCATTTGAGGAAGGAAGTGCGTGCCTTGCAAATACAAGTAAACTAATAAGAAAATTTTTTTTTTTTAATAGTTAATATTTAAAACTGAAAGTAAACATATCTTTTTAATTATTTTTAGGTGCAATCTTTAAATATAAATTTATTATTATTAACATCTAAATATGATAGGCTAAATCGAAGTTTAAATCGAGTTTGGATTCAAAGATCTGAAAGATTCCTTGAACATAAAAAGTTGAATGATGTAAAAAGTCTATTAGAAGGAGCATCCTCGATATCTAAAACCGAAATTTTTGATGGAATTCGTAATACCACTAACAGAAATTTATACACTTACAATACCATAATTCCATATTTAAATTCGCTCAAGAATTTCAAAGGGCAGCATACGTTGTACAATAAGGTTTATGATACGAATAATACCACAATTCTTAAATTATTTATGAAGTTAGAAAATAATGAAAATAATGCGAACGATACCAATTTACGTATTGAAAGAGCAACAGAAAAAGAGAATCGTGTGAAAAGGAATCGCGATAATATAAATGACGGTGATGATGAATTAAATGTATGGAAAGAATCTCGTTCGGGAAGATCGAGAAGAGAGGAGAGAAGAGGTAAAAAACGGGGAAAGAACAAAAGGCGGCCCAAGCGCAGTCACAGGCGATTGGGTATTTACTATTATTTAGTTAGCATGCGTTTTTATTACATTGAAAGTGATCTATATCTTGAGAATTTTAATTTTTATTTATTTTTTTAATAAAATTCCAATGTCAGAAGTAAAATATGATTGAAAATTAAAAAAAGAAAAAAAAAATATAATTCAATTAAAATTTAAATCAAATAACGTATATGTTAACTATTAATTTTGTTTATCCAATATTACTTTTTTATTTAATATAAAAGATATTTCGATATCGTTTAGGACCTTTGGTGGCAACATTTGTTGGAGCAATACCTGAACAACATATTACAGATACAGGTATGTGTTAAAAAAAAAAAGTTAAATTAACAATATTAGTAAAATGCGATATTTAATTAAATTATAATAAATTATACTTATAAATATTCTTATATTAGTTTATATTGGCCCATGGATTAAAAGTATTAAAAACAATACTCAATATAATTTAAATAAATTCCATTTAGTGGAAGATAAAAAATCTATCGAAGTTACAGCGACTGGTTTGTACATGATTTCCGCTCAGGTAAAAAAAAAAAAAAATCGTATTACTATTTGATATTTAAAGTTTTATATATATATATATATATATATATATATATTTATAATACT